CATCATCTTTCCCAAACTACTGCACGTACCAGCATGTCCATCCGCCATTTTTGAGGAGTTGCGCGACCAACCTCTCCACTAGAGCTCCGACGACAACCAGCTGGAGCACAGTCAATGTCCGACGTCATGACCACAGGAATTCTCTCGAAACGCCGGAACAGAGTCATGCCGCTGCCAAGGAAATGATGCCGTCAGAATGCTCGAGAGCTGGCCGGAAAATGCCATTCACAGCCGCCTGAATATTTGCTGATCAACGGAGATTCATTAGACCCCAAAAATTCGACCAGGAGCCAAGAACCGAGCTGAGAATGACGATTTGAAGTTGTTTTGAGCTCCCAGACTCACACGAGTCGTGTGGCGTAATACACGAATCGTGTAGTTCCGACAGGTCGCGTAACTGGCTCTCGACATTTGCACACGACTCGTGTGTCTTTTGACACGAGTCGTGTGACCCTGGGCGCAGTAAAATCCGCTTTAACGCATTTTTCCTATTTTTTTTTTGGTATTTTCGACCTATTTCAACTAGCACTCGACCCCAACTATATATATATAACACTTGGACACGTTTTTGGAGAGGTCTGGGACCTAGTTTTCAGATCTTTGGAGAGCTTTGGAGGCTAGACACACGAGCAAGACGAGGGAGAACACTACAAAAAAAAATACTACAATTCTAACGAAAAATTTCAACGGCAAAATTTCCGTTGGAAATTCCAATGAATATTCCAACAAACTTAATTTTATGTTGGAATAAGTGTTGGATAGTTGAGGAATTCCAATGGATTTTTTCAGTTGGAATAGCTGTAGGAATTTATTTCCATAGGATTTTCCGTTGGATATTTGCTATTCCAACGGCCTTTTTTACAACGGATTTTTCCAACGGAAAATTTCCGTTGGAATGTAAGAGTTTTTTTTGTAGTGGAAAGCCCGGGAAGAAGGGATCGACCGAGCAGAATAAGCTTTTTCTTTCTTTTTCTTTTCTTCTTCCGAACTCAATGTTTTATATTTATTTTGAAAGCTTGTTTCTAGGCTAATTTATCCTAGGATTTGTTAGTACTCGGATTGATTTATGATTTAGTTTATATTTATTTCATTCCGGTTTATCTTTCGTTTATGAATTTCTTTTACGTATATTTATTGTGTGAGTAGATGGCCACTATGAATGCATATTTGTGATCGATTTGAGACCGAGAGGAGATAATTGATTGCTAGAATTGGGAAATTTATAACGTAAGAGACTAAACAGACCGAGAGGTTGATAGAATCTTACGAGAGAACGAAAATCCTAGGAACTTATGGGAGTTAGTTGTTCATCTTGAGACCGAGAGGAGATAGATAACAATTAATATCTACGATTTGCTTGTTCGAGAAAAAAGTTGAAATAAATTTAGTGATTGTCTCTACGATAGGTAAAATTAAATAAGGTTTGTATGAGTATAAACGTTTCGTGAATTAATTCCGGGGAAAGCATGACCTAGAATCTATCTTTTTTATCTTGATTTATTTTTATTATTTTAGGTAAATTAGTTTTTAGTTTAATTTCATAGTTTAAAATCATCATCTCATTCGTTAGTCTAAATAATATTTAATCGTTATTATTTTAGTACTTAATTAATTTAACTACAATCTCTGTGGAATACGACTTTGCTCGCCACTACCTATAGCTACGCCGTACACTTGCGGATAGCAAAAATAATTAACGAACAACCACGAGTGCGCCACGTGGCCTTATAACCGCCATCTTGCAAAACGACACGACGCGCAACACAGATGAACCAGATGACGCCATGTAGAAAGGTCCTGAAACGGCGCAATTTTTCATGGCCGACAAAAATCGTAACGGCCACATCGCATTAATGGACACGTCGCGTCAGATCACGTCATCAATGCGCAGAAGTCGCAGAAAGCTTCAAAGTTAAACAAAGGAGCCAAACTCGCAAGCAAATATACCGAGGCGGGGTTTGACGAACTCGGACACATTTTAAGATGACGACCTTAGACGAGACGCCGAAGTCATCTCACTGAAGCTTGGGGGCCTGTATGTTGACATCCGAGTTTGCCGAAAGGAAACCTGATAGGGATAACCCCAAAAGTCGGACAAGGGAACCTGTCGAGTGGGGAAGTGCTGAGCTGAATTTAAAAATAAAATAGCCGTCGCACCCTTCTGGAGTTGTTCTCGAGGTCGGCACTCACGTGCCGACCTCACAGGGTGCCGGTATGAAGGAAATGTCTGGAAGGTCTATGGAAGACATTCCTCTCAAAAGCCGACTTGAAAGTTTAGGGCGGCCACCCCAGGTACGGGCGTGGGGCTCGATAATAATATAAAAGTACCACTTAGAGGGTAATCATTGGCGATTAGACAAGCCATCATAGCCTGCCACCCTACAACATCTAGCCCTGCCATAAAGCCTGCCAACATTAAATGCTCACCATGTGTGCATTAAATGCCTGGCAGGCAATGACTGAGAAAACCTCGAATCGCATTAAATAATTGTCAGGGAGGCGCTGAACTGCTCTGCAAAACCATTGTACGACAAGACCCGTGAACAGTACCTGTACAGTACCACATTTTAAGGATACTATAAATAGGAACACACTTCATTTATTTTGAGTTGTTGAATCCTCAACTACTCTTCATTCTCTGTAATTTCTCTCTCTAGAATCCTGTAATAAACTTGTAATTATTCCAAGTATAACTCAAGTGCCAACCTCACCCATAGAGGCCGACCTCGTAATTACGTAATAAATTTCATTTTCTGCCATCATTATCATTTCCAACTTTCAATATCTCCTATTTTTCCGTCCATCAACAATCCTATCTGTTCAAGCTGTGGGGAGGATTTTGAAACAATTGATCATTTGTTTTTCCATTGTACTAGGGTTAAACTGGCGTGGAAGCTGGCTCATGTGCAGTGGACAACATTCAATCTGAAAATCTAAAATTCAAACACTGGTGGAGTGGAGTTTGCTCAATGGACATGAAAGTCATCTTAGAGGATAGAATTCAACTCACCACCCATATTCTTTGGTGGCTCTGGAAGTCTAGAAATTTATGTAAATTCCAAAAGATTCTTATGGCTGAACACATTGTGGTTGACACTGCCTTCAAAGAATGGGGTGAATTCAAGAGCATCAGATATAAATAGATGAAGTTATTGGGAAGTCAGTATCCAGGTCCTTTGGTTCAGTGGATGTGCTGCTCCTATTACTTTTTCTGCTATTTGCTTGATTATTTGGTCTGCATTTTATCTAGTATTTGGTTTGTATTGTTTCTGGAGGAATCTGTTGTGCTGCTGCCTACAGTGGATTGATGGGATTAGTATTGTGTGAATTGGTAGTTCTTGGTATTTTGTATTATGTTTTGGGTGGATTGTAGTTAGGCTAGTCCATATCTATATAATGGACCAATCTTTATTACTATAATTGACATAGTTTTAGGCGGGAAAATATTTTCATCTATATTTAGCATATAATTAGCTTTTATCTATTATCAAATTTTATATATGAACATTAATTATCTTTTGTTTATTCATTGACTAATATTCATTATAAATTTACTTAAATAGAATATGGATTGATTACATATATTTTCCAATAAGATCATATTATTAATTCGTAGTAATTTTTTGACACAATTAAAAAGCTATTCAAAATATAGAATATTGATTTGATTAATTATATTATCATCTCATGGTTTTAGATATTAATTGTATTAATTATGTTTAAATAATCAGAATAATTGTATTTGATTCATATTAACTTAATGAATAATTTACAGTAACACCAAAATTTGCTAAAATATAGTATACATAACCATTGAAAGTATATCTCCGTTGAATATATTATTTTATTAGATATACCATTGAAAAGTAATTCTTATATATTAATAAAATTATTATTTGATAGCCGAGTGAAATTAAGAATTTTAAGTTTTACATTAGAGATATCTATATACATAAAAAAACCGATTGAGTTGTAAAAACATATATTTCTTATTATATATTAATTGATAAAGAAAAAGGGGTAAATAGGATAATATAGTCAAATGTCATAATTAAAATTATAGCATATGATAGTAATTGAAATATATAACTCATCGAAACATTTAAAATAGATATTAATACTCATTATTATGTTGAATAAATTTATTAAATATATAATTAGACGAAAAATTTAAAAATACAAATATATAGTTTACTATGAAAAAATTTGTTGCATAAGCGATTAAAGTCACTACAAATTAAATTTGATTATCAAACAATTAATATTTTATTCATCTGATTTTACGGAAAAAAAAAAGATAATATGTAATTTTACTAAGCAATTTGTATGACATCATATATAAAATCTAAATATTGATACTATTTTATAAACTTACAAATAGTTAGATTTATATATTAAATAGTCAAAAACCTGTAAAAATAACTTAAAAAAGATATTCGAACAAATTTTTTATTATTAGCGACTTGATATATTGAGTTGGATGTAATTATCATGTTGTTTTAAATAAATTAACAATATTTAAATAATAAAATATAATATATAGTATACACCGTGTATCGCACGATTATCAACTAATTTATTTACAAGTATTGTCCCTTTTTGTTACTATTTCATTAGAACTAGTGGGTTACGCGGTTGTATCTATGTACTTTATTTCATTTTGGAAAAAAGAAATAATAAAAAAAAAAATCATCGACTCAATGTAATTTTATACTTGGACTATAAGTAGGATTGATTATAAAATAAAACAAGTTGTTAACATCGAGGACTACGTTGTGCTATCCAATAAGGGAATGCCACCTATGCAATAGACGTGTTTGGACCGGCAATGGGATTTCTTCTCTCTATAAATATGAAAAATCGCTGCGTTTCGACGGACGCCAGAAAATTCCGAAAAAATTAAAAGAGATCGGTTTCCAATTTGCCTCGCCGGAGCTAAACTAGCTGTTCTTCGACGGCCTTTTCTCCTAACAGGCGACGACCGATCTCTCACTGCAATAATGGTAAATTTGTTTTTACTTTTTTTTATTTTTTATTTTTATTGCGATTTATGTTTATCTTATATTTTAGTTTCGCGATCCATTATTTTGTTTTCTGTTCTGTTTTGTGTGATCTTTATCAGACTTCAATGTCTATAGAAGATGGATCCTTGTTTAGATTTAGGAATGCTGTGTATTAGAACTCGAACATGTCTGGGTCATATTTGGGTATATTGTTTGATAATTGATATCATTATGTGTATAAATCTTTGTGTTATGAACTTGGGTCATTAAAAATTTGAAATTACGAAAATTGTTTCTGATTGAATTATTAGATTGGAACATAGGAAAATTTTTATCAACATTCATCTAACTGAAAAAAAAAATAAAAAAAATAAAACCATTAGATCCTTTACCCTTCATCTGCATTGTGTGTGAGATGTCACAACATACTCTTAAGGAAGAACATTTAATGTTTTATGCTACTCGAGCATATTGGCGTTTGATGGAAGGAAATCTACAATAAATTCTTTGTATATCGTTGAATAATGCTCAACACATAAGAGATGGGAGTCGTTTACATGATCGTTTAAATGATAATGTACTTATCGGTTTTGTTGTGAGGCCAACAATTGGCTTCATGGTGGAGTCAACCTTCTATATACAACAAGTAAACCTACCATATTTTCTAATTACTTAAATAGCAAACCGATGTACTTATAGAAGAGTGTGACTATATATCGGTGACCAGTTGACTTGCTGTTTGGTAAGCTGATTGAGTGGAGGAGGAACATGGCCTGATCTTTATATCTACACACATACATTCATTGTTCTATAATTTATGTATTTTCAGATCTGAAGCTGAACCAGATAGCATATTTTTGTCTTAATGATTGTTTACCTCACAACTATGTAAAACCAGTCTCGTAGCACACACTTTTCAATTGCTAATGTGTACATCTACTATCTTATATGCAGACGACTTCGAGGAGGCTTGCTGACAGGAAGGTTGAGAAATTTGAGAAGAATATATTGAAGAGGGGTGCTGTTCCTGAGACCAGCACAAAGAAGGGAAGCAGCCTCTCTGTAGGCCCTGTTCTGCTCGGGTTTTTCATTTTTGTGGTCATCGGGTCATGTAAGACACTTTCTGCTTTTCTTTTTCCCAAATTTTTTGTATTCTCCTTGTCAGGTCTACCTTTTTTCTTCACTTTGCTCCATATTGTGTTTTGTGGTTAACCGATGTTTGTTTCGTTTTTTTCCTCAGCACTATTTCAGATAATCAGGACGGCAACAAGCGGAGGAATGGCTTGAATAAAATGGTGTTTGTCTGATGTTGGTTTATAGATACTGTTGAATGAGAGGGGTTCTTTTTTGTATGTCAACCAAAGACTAGAACTATCGTTACTTTTGAATAAAATTATGCCCAGATAAACGCAGCTACCATGAAATAAATCTCTTGCGAGCTTTTTCCTTCCATCATCGGCCTTGACTTGAGTGTCCTCTAATCTGATCAACCTTTGGCAACTTCAGTTATGTGACAACACAATATCAATTGAGTCCGTGCACAATAGTGTTAAATGAATTGCATACTAATGACTTAAGGACTGCACATCATCGATTAAAACTGATCAATCCAATATTAAATTTTAACTAATTACATGACAATTCAATTATCTATTTTTATGTTTAAAATTTTAGTTATGTGGATTCGATGTCATATTTATTTTTGTTTGTTTGTTTTCAAAAGTTCGACTCGATTATTTTAATTTTGTTATTTTGGTTAGTCGGCTTGACCAAACAGGCCAATGAAAGACTCTAAGCGCGGTTAAATTTTGGCAAATTTGCAAACTTTTAACGTGTAAATGATAATAATTATGTAATTATATAATAATATAACAAAAATTTTAATATGCATATTCTCGTGCAATATTGTGCATTTCACGTGATGTTATTGTGCGTATTGATCAGGTTTACCAATTACATGTGCTACATATAATACTTCAAAAAAATTCCAAATAGAACCCTCATATTTCTCTCATTTCCAAAAATAGAACCACAAATTAAAACCCAAAATCTCAATTACATGTGCAACATATTAGACTCAAAAAATTGTAAAAAGCATATTTCTCCAATTTCCAAAACTTGACCCACAAATTAAATCTCAGAATATGGAAACCGATCAATGCCAATCCCGATAGTATCTTTCGACTAGATTCGTTGCCGTCCTCGTCTCTACCGGCGGCTTGGGGAATGGAGGTTCAGATGGTGAAGTCGTTGCTCCGGAGCGACGGCGTTTCTCCGAGTTGCAGGCCGGAGAGGTCGTGGCAGTGGTGGCAATAGCGACGTGCCGGAAGGATCTGACGGTGGCGATGAGCTCCGACTGTGTTAGCGGGACTGTTGGAAGCGGTGTGGCTGGTTTGTTGACGGACGCCAGGCTGGTAGGTGACGATAGTATCGGGATATGTCGGATGTGTTCTTAATGTCGCCGACGATGCTAGAGGCGCGGTGGTTCGACCGTCGGGCTGCATTGCTTTGACAGCGGGGCGACGTCTCTTTGAATGCCGCTCGAAGGCGTTTTGATGATCGGCGCGACGCTCTGACGGACAAACGACGGTGCTTAGGAGGTCAGACATCGGGCCGGCGGCGCACCTAGAAGGCTGGGCGGCGAGAGGAGGGTTGTCTTTTTTTATTGTTAAATAAATTTTTATTGATCAAAACTGAAAGTCATACAACCGATTGACTTACAAGAGCAAAGCGGGTAGCCACAAGTCGGCTCCTCACTTACAAGGACAAGAAATAACGAGGACAACCACAAGTCGGCTGCTCACTCGTTAGAAGAAAAAACAATGAAATTCCACGGGGAAGCTAGCGGCGCTAGCACAGCCTTAGCGGCGCTAGCAGTGATGTGGCGAGCTCAGGCATCCAAGACACCTCCTTTCAAATTCGGCAAGAACTCTCGGAAATAGAGCAAAGATGGAGCGGTATACATGAGTCTTTACCTTTCTAATCACGAGGCTTGGAGGTTGGCTTTCATTCTCGAAAATCAATCGATTCCTTACATTCCAAATGAAGTACACGATGGCCGCTAGCGCCGCTTTCTTCAATTTGGCTCTCCAAGTCGTCCCTTTTCCTTCTTTTGTGAAGAGTTGTCTTTATTTGTGAAGAGGAGAGGGGAGAAAGTGATGGGCCCACTTATATGTGAAAAGTTTTATTTATCTTTATCTAGTGGTTAAGTATTAAATTTTGACCATGCATAGTACAATTATTTATGATATTGTCATTAATGATTGATTGACCCATAATAAAATTTGACTTGATCATGTCCATCAATATATTGGGATCAATGGCACAGATCTATTCTTATTTGTTTCATTATCTCATTTTCTCATTTGAGCACACTTATATATAT